CAGAGCTGGAAGATGAAGTGGTGGTCACAGAAAGATTTTTTTTTATTCTAGTATTGAATTCATCCCATTATTCATGTTCAATCCTCAGTATCCACATGCTCCTCCTAGCATGCTAGGAGTGATCCCTGAGAGCAGTGCTAGGAGTAAACCCTGAGCATAGCAGGGCCTGGTCCCAAAACAAATAGAATAAAGTCAAATAAATTTTAAAAATCCTATTCAAATCTGGGAGGCAGCTCAAAGGGCTGAAGTGTTTTGTTTCAGGAGCCCTGGGTTAGGTCCCTGTACTCCTTTGTCCTCTGAAAACTTCTGGGTGCACTTCTGCCCCAAATAAAAATCCTTAGTAACCTGGGAAAAACTATTTTCAATTAGTTGTTTTTTATTTTCAGATTTTTGTTTGCTTTTGGTGCAGGGAATTGAACCCAGGACTGGTGACGTGTGTGCTTTTGTCATGGAGCTACATCCCCAGCCCTGAGATTAGTATTTTGTTTTTGTTTTTGAGCCATAACAGGTGCTCAGGAGCTACCTCAGGCTTTGTGTTCAGGGCTCACTCCTGTGGTCCCGGGGATTTAACCAGGGTTTCGCTGTGTGCAAGGCAAATGTCTAACTCTCTGTACTGCTTCTTTAGCTCCTTAACCCCTGGTTTTAGCTTAGCCCATGAGTGTGCTCTGTTGTTTCCCTAGGGAAAATGTGTTTCTGTGTTAGGGATGAAAGGGTGCAGCTTACTCTATTTAGTGGCCTCTGAAATAGTGGAATGCTGGCTGAAATTAAAGAATAAATTATGTTTTTAAAAATCTTTTTTTTTTCTGATTTTGGGTCACACCCGTCGATGCACAGGGGTCACTCCTGGCTCATGCACTCAGGAATTACTCCTGGTGGTGCTCGGGGGACCATATGGGATGCTGGCATTTGAACCCTGATCAGCCGCATGCAAGGAAAACGCCCTATCCGCAGTGCTATTGCTCCAGCCCCTTTTGTTTTTCTTTAATCCATTTAAGTTCTTACTCAGAACATTGCTTATTTTTATTTATTTAGTTAGTTGTTGTGGTTATTCCTTAAACATTTGAGGTCCTTTTTTGAATGGAATTTTAGTTTGAAATTTGGGCCAAATCGCTATTATATAGTTGCCCCCCAAATTGCACTTCCAGGATCTTGGAGCACCCCTGGTCTGTTTCTAAAGGAATCCGTTGACTTCACAAAGTCCAAAGAGACTCCGCGTGGTCAGAAATCCAAATGCTGAGCCCGGGGTCTTTCTGCAAACAGAGCATGATATAACCACAGAAAAGAAAGAGGAGTTTGTATTTCCCAAGTTTTATTTTAAATTACAACTTGGGAAGCTCCGTTCGCCCAGCACTCTTTTAATTAGGAAACTGATCTCTCGGTCGTGTGCCTGGGCGCTGCTGTGTGCGAATCTTGGCACACGCGGCAGTTCCAGCGTCGTGCAGGGCATGCTTCCCTCTCAGTTCTCCTTGGCCTTAGGATCCTGTCACCACATTTGCAAGATTAGACAAAAGCCCTCTGCCGTTTATTTTCTTTTTGAACAAGTTACATTATGGAGGGACTTTTAAGCTAAAAGAAGAAAAGCTGCCTCTTTGTGGAGGCTGCAGTTTTGTCGTTTCAACTTGTCTTGGACTTCCTCGGAGATGTTTTAAGATCCGGTGTAAACTTGCTGTGGTTTGCCTTTGGGCATCAAACTGTTTAGCTTGGCTCTGTTCTATCTGTAATTGCTGCATTTTAATAATTGCCCAATATTCTTGTCAGCAATTTGCAGGCTATATTTTTAATAGAACCATTTGCCCCTCTTTTCCACAGGTTCATTCAGACCTGACTTAAACCCCTGGATTAACACACACAGTCCCACAGAGTCTGAGCAGCTGCTCAGAGGGTGACACGAGCTCATTAAATATTCCCACAAGCCTCCTGCTGGCTGTGCTTTATGTGTTCCATAAAATTCCTCTGGGAAGCCATCTTCTCCTGAGATCTCCTTACAGCACTTTGCTATATAAAACTTGCCCCATGTTTGGTGAAATTTGTCCATTCTTTTAGAAATAAGTTCTGATTCCCTTATTAGCCATTTTGAGAGGTTCTATGCTTTGGAAAAAAATAATGGGCAAAAATTTTCTTGTCTGTAGGTGATTTATTTGTGTGTGTGTGTGTGTGTGTGTGTGTGTGTGGTGTTAGAAATTGAACTCAGTTCTCCTGTATGTGAAGTGTGTTGTTGTTATTGTTGTTGTTGTTTCGGGGTCACACCTGGCATTTCTCTGGGCTGGGTCCTGGCAGGGTTCAGGGAACCACCATATGGGGTGCTGGGTATTGAATCTGGGTTTGCTGTGTGCAAGGCAAGTGCCTTATTGGCTGGACTATCTCACCAGCCCCCTCCATAGTTAACGTTTTAAGTGAACAGAGAAGGCTTTATCTGAGGTAATATAGAATCATGGTAAATGCAAGATTTCAAGGTGATTGAAGTAAGTTCATAGCTTACAAAATTATCTCTGTGATTGAGTACTTTGACATGACCATCTTGCTTGTGTCTCTACTTCATTGGAATGTTCTTTAAGTGATTCTTCTTCTTACCTTATCTTATTTTTTGGGTCTTGTGTAATATTTATTTTGCAGTGAACAAGATGGAACTGGTTTTACAGTAGAATAGAATTCCATAAATAATTGTACTCCAGTCTCTCTTATTAGTTTATACCTTCAAGGGATGGATGAATGTTTATTATAATAACACTTGTAGCTTGTATGTTATGTAAGGTACTGTTGAAGCACTATGCAGTTTTGTGGGGAGGATTGGGTCACCCAGTGGTGCTCATGGATTACTCCTGGCTCTGTGTGCAGGGTTTACTCCTGATCCTGTGCTCAGGAATTCTGGCTCTATGTTCAGGTTCACTCATGATGGTGCTCAGGGGCCTATATGTGGTGTTAGGGATTGAATCAGGGTCAGCCACAGGTAAGACGAGCACCTTAACCCCTGTACTATATCTCTGGATCCCATTGTAGCACTGTGTATATTAATGAGCCATTACATTTAATGTCTATTTGGTTATCATAGTAGCCTATGTAGTAGGCTCATGTGTGCTCAACATCATGGGTTTGACAGGTGGCAGAGTAGATTCATATCCAGGTAGACATTTAACTGTCATCATTATGCATAATCTATTAATTCTAAGCACTGTTATATACCGGGACTGAACCATATTCCTACATATATAATTTAGTTTTGAAGCATGTCTGGACAATTTTTTAGAAATTATGCTGTATTAAAGTTTTCCCTGACCGGGAATCGAACCCAGGCCGTGGTGGTGAAAGCACCAAATCCTAACCACTAGGCCACCAGGGAGCACACATTGGGCTGGAGCAATAGCACAGTGTGTAGGGCATTTGCCTTGCGTGCCGTCGTCGTGGGTTCGATTACTCCCTCCCTCTCGGAGAGCTCAGCAAGCTACCAAGAGTAACCTGCCCGCATGGCAGAGCCTGGCAAGCTCCACATGGAGTATTCATATGCCAAAAACAGTAACAACAAATCTCACAATGGAGATGTTGCTGGTGCCTGCTTGAGCAAAATCGATGAACAATGGGAGGACAGTGCTACAGTGCTACAGTGCATGCTGTATTATTTCTGGATAGGTCATATTTGTGCATGATACAATACTGAAATGGAAATTCAGTGAGGAGGCTCACAGTCTCTGCCATCAGTTTTCCCAATCACCCCATTTTCTTCCTCATAGGCAATTAGAGTTACTATCAGAAAGAGCCATAAATATGATTTTTCTCTTCATAATGTTACAGTGAGCCAAGACAATGTCAAGAGCAATTCATTTTGCCTTTGTTTTTATGTTTTTGTACTGTGTCTAGAAGTACCCTTACTGACTGTCTGTCATTGAAGCTTTTGAGCTGGTGGATGGTGTTTCCTGAGCCAAGGGTAAAAAGCTCTATAATCTTCAGCTTGTTTCAATGATTCCTGGAAACTCCATGATCCTCCCTTGTGTTGGCTTAGTCTAGGCGGGGTCTCTGTTCATTTATCCAGTTTTTGGATCCGTTTTTTCTCCTGATGAGAAAGAATAGAACCATTACCTAATGCCTGGAGCATAGTCAGTGCCCAATAAATATTTGTTGAATTGAACAACTGCTGTGGATTGTGCCAGAATTGGCAGGGTGGGTGTTGTCTAGGATTGAAAATAGATTTTGGAGTGGCTAAGTGAGTAGAGTTATAGGAGAGATACTAAGGTTAAGCTAACCATCACAAAACTTGTTGGTCAAGTCTATAGATAGGAAAAAGTTAAAGGATCTAGTTTAACAACAAGATAGTCTCAGAGTGAGAGAGAGGGAAGATTCTTCTGTTTAAAATGTTGGACAGCCATTGAAATAATACCATTTCATTTTTTCATGGTTCCTAACTGTATTTAATTCAGTTTGAATTACTTATAATAGATAGGTTGAAACATTAGATTGAATTTCTATTGGTGTTTCCTTACAGACATTCGGGAGTTTGTGTCTCAAATATCATTGATGACTTTAGTACCACCCCATAACTGGTGATGTTATATTATTTTCTGCTATATTTCTGAAATTTTTTTTAATATCAACCATATTTATTTATTTGTTTATTGCTTTTGGGTCACACCCAACGATGCTCAGGGATTATTCCTGGCTCTGCACTAATGAATTACTCCTGGCAGTGCTTGGGGGACCATATAGGATGCCGGGGATTGAATCTGGGCCAGCTGCAAGCAAGGCAAATGCCCTACCCGCTGTATTATCACTCCGGCCCCTAATACTATTTTTAAATGTCAGAAACAAGACTCTTTTTAAGAGCATTAGCTATAAAAATATTTATTAGTTAATTACCAGCCCCACCTTAGTTTGCTTGAGTGCTGTCTTGGCATCTTGGAAGTTGTTTTTATCTTACACATTTCAGAAATTCTTCATTTCACTTTAATGTATGTTGGTTTATGAAAAGAAGTTCCGACATTAACATTTCTTTGTGAAATGTGTTTTCATAGGTAATTTGACAATTGGAAAGAGGGAGCTTAAAGCCACTTCAGATTTGCGAAGACTGTTTATGATCCAGAGTGACTGGACGTGACACATTTGTCAGGAAAGAAAATGATTTCTCATTATGTGCTTGCTGTGTTTGCCTTGGTGAGCTCCTGTCTAGCCACTGCAGGTGAGTTGCATAATACAAGTTACAGTCTTTTGCTTTCTTTTGAATATTTTTTTCTCCTCACTCTCTTCTGTTAGGAAAAATTTAGGATATGAGCTATTTATGCAAAATTAGAATCTTTATGTTCATCTGGAAAATAGAACATTTGCCGGCTCTACAGATAGATAGTATGTTTTCCTGTTGTATTTTATGGGGGCTGGGGTTTGGGACAATACCCAGCTGTGCTCAGAGCTTACTCCTGACTCTGTGCTCAGCGATCACTCCTGGTAGTTAGTGCTCTGGGAATCATAGTGAATGGAACCAAGATTAGCCTGTATTATTTCTTGGTCCCAATCTGTGTTATATTTTAGTAGACTGGTGTAGATGTTCTGATTTTGGTGAGTCGGATACCTAGCTAATTTGTAGAGAACAAATGTGCTAGTGTTTAATTTCACTGAATTTTGTTGCAGACATTGATTACTTGTTTAAAATAAGATTTTCAAGAGAACTGTTGGTCTTTAGTATAAAATAAACAGTTTTATAGAGAGAGAATGTCTAGATGCAATTTTTGAAGTTTGCCTATTTCATTTGTAAATAGCTAACATAAAAAACATACAGAAATATGCCTCACTTCCTGGAGCTATCAATTGGAGATGAGAGGAAGTAGATAATTTGGTCGGAAAGTTGTTACTTAAGTGAGAGTATCTGATCCTTGACATCAGCATCTGAATGTTCACAACCAGGGTTTCTTAACAAATTTGGAAGCTTAATTTGCTCTACTTTGTTATAGCTTGCTTGGTGCCTATTCTCTGATGAGTTATATAAAACTGATTTCTTGAGCCAGCTCTGAAAACTGGCTGATCTTAACACAAACTTAGTTCTATGCTAAGTTGCTCTCTGGCAGGGAGTTTCTGTCTACATTTTAATAAATAAAATTTTCTATCTTTTTAAAAAAACAAAACAAGAAACAGATTGACTTGAAAAATTACTAGTTTTTTGGTTTTGGTGATGGAATGGTATGTACAGATGAGATGATAGTGACTAAAATTGCCATTTGTTGGGTGAACAGGGCTAAATATTTACTGAATTTAAGACTAAATAAGAATATCCTTATTTAACGAGCCCACTCTATTGCAATTCAGAGGAGATAATGATTATTTTTCCTATTTTATGGATTGAGGAATTCAACCCAAAGTTGACTGTAGATTGCCGTTAAGATAACTCACCATGAAATAAGATGAGGAGAGGTTAGTCTGTTGCACAGTGTTGTGTCTCTAGTAAGTAGAGGATCGGCTTCATACCCATGCTCTAAACCTCTGTGTTATACTGAAGAAGAGACCAGGCCAATATTAGTTCATTAAACTCAGTACACAACAGCCAGAAGTTGTATGTACGCACAGAGTGAAAAGTTTTCAGAAATTGCCTTTTGCTATATTTTCTTTTTTTTGGTTTTCTTTTGAATTCCAGTGTGTGAAATTAAAGGACACGTTCTTTGAGAAGTCTCATTTAGTCTCGTTCTTGAAGTTATTTGCCTTTTTGACTGTGTATTAATATTGATTTTAACTAAAACTGCACTGAAAAGAAGTCATGGGAATAGTGTAGTAGTAGTTGTTGTAATAGTATAGTATTAGGAATGAGAGAGAGGGAAGGGAAGAAGGAAAGAAGGAAGGGAAGAAGGGAAGAAGGAAGAAATAGAAGAAAAATGGAGGAAGAAAGAGACTGAGGGAGGAAGGAAGGAAGAAAAGAAAGTAGGAGGGGAAGGGAGGGAGGAAGGGAGCAAGGAGAGGAGGGAAGACTTGGTGGAAAACAGTACTGTTTTGATGACAAGATGTATAATCCTGCCAGTGGATTGGAAACAGATCTTTCTGCTCTCACTGCTTAGCTTGATTGATTAAACATCAGAGGAATAGCCACTAGCGAGACACCCTGGAACCAGATGAAACCCCTTTGGCTTAAGAGATGCGTGTCAGTGCCGAGAGTGAAGGAACTTCTTTCTGGCATTCTGACTTCACCGGCCTGGTAGTGAAGCTCTGATGTAGGGTTCTTGGCAGCAGCAGGAAGGTAGGCTGTCAAAAGGCCTCCTTTAGATGTGCAGATGAGGGGGCTAGAGCACAGCAGAGCACAGGGAGAGGGCTGAGTTACTGTACTAGGAGCCAGCTCTGGCAGCCTAGTCTTGGCTGGGCCTTTGCAGAGGGGTGGGGAGCTGTGTCCTAAGCTTGGTGTTGCTTTGACCTCCCTCCCTCCCTCCCTCTCCCTTCCTCCTTGATTTGCACCTCTCAGCAGAGAAAAGGGTTTGTGCTTTTTGTGAACAAGAGTTGTGGAAGAACTGTATTTCCTCCTGTACAGAAATGAACTCGGTATCGGCACTTAGCTCCTGTAACCTGCCTGAGAAAACTGGGAAGTTGTATTTTTTCCTGGTGTCAGGGTTCGAACCTAGGGTTTTACCCATACAAGGTTAGTGCTTCTGCTGGACCATTCCCCAGTCCAAAGCTTTCAAAATAGAAATTTTTTGTGTGCTACACATCTTAAAAAACTATCAACTACTGCTTCTGAGGCTCATCAGAGTTCAAGAGAGCTGGGCTCCCAGGAGCCTGAATAATGAGAAGGCAGCACACAACTGATGCAGGGAATCAGTGTGGTTGGAAGGAATGGGCTTGCCTGGTGCCACAGACCCCTCATGCCAGGCCAAAGGGGCATTGCTGGGATGAACTCTGCAGAAGTGCCCAGCTGCCACGCCAACTAGAATTCCTAGGTATAACATATAAAAAAATATAGAGCTGCTTCTAGTTATTTTCCTGCCAAGATAACTCTGACTTGCTTTGTGTCTAAGGGGCACCAAGCAGAGATACCAGTTAATATTTGGTTTATAGTAAAGCAGGCTGGTAGCAAGGGGTGGCAGGAGACTAATGATAATATCATGCTTACAGTTTTCAAAGTACTTTTATACCATCTATTTAATTTGATCTCTTAAAAGTCCCTGGGGTGGGATAGGGGTGCAGGCAGGAATTGTTTTCTTTGTTTTTAGTATGTATGGGGATAGTGGGGCTTAGAGAATTCAACTCTCTGTTGAACCGGAATTTAGCATGCTTCTGTAGGCAAACTGAAAACGGCGTCAGCCTAGCATTATTCTGAACTTGTGACACCTGTCAGTTCATTTAATCCTTCCAGAAGCCCAACTGAGGTGGCTATTTATCATTACCTCATTACTAATTTTTTTTTTATGGTGGAGAGGAACCACAGGCAGTGCCCAGAGTACCATGCAGTGGCAGGGATAGAATCTGGGTCTCGGACATGCAGAGGTTGTTCTTAGTCCTTTGAGATATCTCCCTGGCACTCTGATATTCTTTCTGTAATCATGCTAACTTTCTTGCTCCAATTCTTAGTTTACAAATGAAGAAATGGAAACTCAGGGAAGAGAAAGGGAATATCTAATGAGAGACAATATTTGTTTTGTTTTGAGGCCACATCTAGTGGTTTGTCCCGCTCTTTTGCCTTGTCTTTGCATGGTTGTATAATTGCTACTCTGCCTTCTAGGTTCCTGACGCTTGTGAGTTATTCTAGGATACTAGTGATGGTCTGTTCTCTCCGTCAACATTGCCATTAGGACAAAGCTATCTGTATTCACCCACTTACAGGTTTAATTGGTCATAGATTATACTTTTGCACAAGTGACAGCGTGTGTATAGGAAACTAAACACTTTTTGTATTTATGTATTTATTTTTGAAGTATTGGGGATTGAACCCATAGCCTTATACATTTGAGCCATGTGCATTACCACAGAGCTATATGCCAGCCCCTTCCCCCCCCCGGGCAACTGGACTTTCTTTAGCTTGTTTGCTTTGATCAGTGATTGTCATATTCTGAAGCCAGCTTGAATCATGGATAGAGCTGCATGCTTTCTTTGGGAAGAGTTGACAGGGCAGGGAATGTCCAGGAAGAGTTCTAAACTGCAGCCTTCCCTCAGGACTCACTCTGCAAACCCACATCTGAGCCACAGAAGATTGGCCTAGCCTGCAGCCCACATACATGGGCCACTGAGTTTCATTTTCTTCAAAAAGTTCTCTGCAAGAGTTGCCCAAAGTCCAGTAAAATCATCATTTATATGCTCTGAGTGAATGATATAAATCAGGTGGAATTCTAAAGAACAGAAACACTTTCGCTGTCAGAATGTTGCTTCTAAGGACTGCAGCAGGTGTGTTGGGGACCGAGGTCCAGCTATTCTGCCCAACGCTGCCAAATCTTCGAAATAAATAGTCAGACCAAAAAAAATATTGTCTGAATGGAATGTGGAAAATCTTACCACTTTCAAAGCTAAGTTTTTATTTTATTTTTTGGTGCCAGGGATCACACTCAGGGCCTCATACACGTGAGACATGTGCTGTATCACTTAAGCTACATCTCCAGCCAGGAAAGTGTTGATTAAAAAAACAATCCTCCTCCCACCCTCCTGCAAAAAAAAAATGACCTGAGAGATAGCTCCAAATGTTCCCCCAAGTTTAAAAAAGTAACAAGGGCCTGGAGGGCTGGAGTGCATGCCTTTCATATAGGAGACCCAGATCTGATCCCTGTCATCACAAAGCCCCCTAAGCGCTGCCAGAAGTGACACCTGAGCACAGAGCCAGGAGTAGCTCCTGAGCTTATTTATAAATATCAATATTTATAATTTATTATAAAATATTTAAAATAAAAAATTAAATATATTTACTTAAAATATTCATTATAAATATTTAGAGTAGTTATTAATATTTAAACTTTTAGAATAAAATATTTTAAATATTCAGAATTTAATATTTAGAATAAAATATGTATGTAATATTATCATATGTAAAAAGTTACTCTTGTTGGCAATGAAGTAAGCCATATAAAGAGATGATGGATAATTATGGCAAGAGGTAGACATTCTTTTAAAAACAGTTCTAAGGGGCTAGAGTGACAGAGTACAGTGGGAAAGGCACCTTGCCTATGGCTGATCCTTGACCGAGGTTCAATTACTGGCACCACATATGGTCTTCTGAGCCCACCA